GTGACAGGTAATATGTGTAATATTTTAAACTAGAGGTAAATATAGTATATGTGTGGTTAGGTAGTTTGTCCATCTTATTATCGTCCTGTTTTTTAGTATTAGTGGAATTAAATTTAACTTGGTCAGTTTCTTTATTGCGTACTTATTGTTTTAGTTATATTAGTAGGACACGTTTTCAGTGTTTTACCCATGTTTAACCATTACTTGTTAGTTCTATTTTTAGCTTTATTTATTACTACCTCCGTCCCATTTTATATATCATCCCTTTCTATAAATAGTTGGACCACAATACTTGTCATTTTATAAAATTTATGCATAAATTACCATATTTTGCCTATTATACCCTTGATAGAGTAGTTACTTAATCTTGATAATGTAAGCATCATTTATTATAAAGTTGACTTAAGAAAACATTAAATAAGGGTAGAACGTTAAAGTTACATTATTTTTTAATGCAAGTGCAAAGTAAAAAAAGTGACATATAAAATGGGACGGAGCGAGTAATTTGTAAGCCTATAAATGGAACTATATCTGGCTGTTTTAAGAAGCGTGGAATCAAGTAGTGAAAAAATTATTTCTTTCTCATAGTCTGCTTACTTCTTTTACTCTTCTTTTTTCTAACAATTTGGTATCCGAGAAGCCTGGTTTGTTAATCTGGGAGTCAAAGAGAAAGTGAGAAAGAGAGATTATAAAAAACACGAGAGAAATCCATAAAATTGGTAGTGAACACCAATTCAAACTCTCAGCCTCTTCCAATTTTTAAAGGGGTGAATTATCATTTTTGGAGTCTTAAGATGAAGATTCTTTTTAAGTCTCAAGAGCAATGGAACTTGGTGGAGAATGGATTTCCATTCCTGGATGAAGGCCACTCACAACAACTCCAGGAAAATTGCAGGAAAGATTCGAAGGCGTTGTTCCTATTTCAACAAGCCCTTCATGATGATATCTTCCCCAGAATTTCACCAGCGGAGACGTCCAATGAAACTTGGGAAATTTTGCAACTGGAGTATATGTGAGATAAAAAGGTAATTCCTGTTAAATTGTAAACTTTGGGTTGTGATTTCGAAACTTTGAGTATGAAAAGTGGTGAATCTGTGCAAGACTATATGTCTAGAGTCTCTATAATTGTTAATCTCATGAAGTCTTATGGAGAGTAAATTAACGATTAAATTGTTGTAGCAACCAATAAGTTTGAGCATGTGGTTGCTGCTATCGAAGAATCCAAGGATTTATCTAATTATACATTTGATGAATTAATGGGTTCTTTGTTAGCTCATGAAGATAGGATAAACAGGTCACATGAGAAGGTTGAAGAAAAGACTTCCCAGGTGAAAGAGGAGCCATCTTTCTCCAAAGAAAAATCCTCAAATTTCTCTTGTAGAGGTAGAGGTGGATGTCCTGGGAGAGCTCGAGGCAGTAGCAGAGGCAGAGGACAATTTAGTGAGTCATGTCAGCCTAAGAGTAGCTTGCAATGTTGGTATTTCAAGAAGTCCGGCCACACTGAAGCATATTGTTGGACCAAGCAAAGAGATGAGCAGAAGCATGCCAATTTCTCTGAGAAAGTTGAGGATGAAAGTAAGTTGTTCATGGCTCATTCTTCAATTACAGACAATGCTAATGGTGTTTGGATTATTAATAGTGGATGCTCGAATCATATGTCTGGTACAAAGTCTCTATTTACAGATCTTGATGAGTCGAAAAAAGGTGAAGTTTGACTCGGTGATGACAAGCAAGTATGAGTTGAAGGCAGAGGTACCATAGCCATCAAAACAACGCAAGGTAATTCTAAACTTATCTGTGATGTGCAATTCGTTCCTAATTTGGCTTACAATTTGCTTAGCGTTGGACAATTGATGGTGAATAGTTGTTCTGTTTTGTTTGATAATGACTCGTGTATTGTTAGTGACAAGAAATGTGGTCAAGCTGTTGCAATTGTGCCTATGACTCAGAACAATATGTTTCCCCTTAATGTTTCAGATATTGTTAAGAATGTGTTAGTTGCTAAAGGTGTTCATGAAGCTCAACTTTGGCATCTTCAATATGGTCATTTGAATATTAATGGGCTGAAACTGTTTACTAGAAAGAAAATGGTGGTTGGTTTACTAAAAGTGGGTGAGATTGTGTTATGTGAAGGGTGCATATTCAGAAAACAAAGTAGATCTTTCCCTATAGGAATGTCTTGGAGGGCTAGCAGTTGTCTTGAGCTTGTACATGATGACTTGTGTGGACCGATGAAGACTTAGTCACTTGGTGGGAGTCGCTATTTTCTTCTATTTACTGATGATTATAGCCGTATGAGCTGGGCTTACTTTCTAAAATTCAAATTTGAAGCTTTTGAGAATTTCAGGAAATTCAAGGCTCTCGTAGAGAAGCAAACAGGCTGCAAAATAAAAGCTCTTCGCACAGATCGTGGTGGTGAATTTTTATCTAATGATTGTAATCTATTTTGTGATGAGAATGGAATTCACAAGGACCTTACAACACCGTACTCGCCACATCAAAATGGAGTCGCCGAGCTGAAAAATCGCACTGTGGTTGAAATGGCCAGAAGCCTACTTAATGAAAGGGGACTTCCTATTGATTTTTTGGGAGAAGCAGTGGTTTCAACTGTCTACCTATTGAATATTTATCCAACAAAATCTATTTTGGGTCGAACTCCATATGAAACATGGACGGGACATAAACCACGAGTAAGCCACTTGAAAGTCTTTGATTGTATAGCCTATTCTTTGGTTAATATACGTTATAAACTAGATGAAAATTTTGAGATATGCATTTTCATTGGTTATAGTCCTCATTCCAAAGCATATAGACTATATAGTCCTACTAGTCGCAAAGTGATTATCAGCAGGAATGTTACATTTAACGAAGAAGCAGCCTAGGAGTGGAATGGCGAGAAAGAAGATTCAGTAGTCCATATTCCGGCTCAATCAGAAGGAGAGCATAGTACGATTCTTGAATCAACAGGTTCTGACTCTTCCTCTCCTTCCAGCAGCGATACTAATCTTTCTTCTCATGGCTGCAGTAGCAATGATTCTAATCCAACAAGATCCCATTCTACATCTTCAGCTTCATCCAGCGAAACGCCACCAATAAAGTTTTAGTCGTTGAAAGATGCTTATGCATCTTGCAGTATTTCCTTATTAGTTGCTGAACCAACATGTTACGAAGAAGCTGCAAAGCAACCTGAATGGCTGAATGCAATGATTGAAGAGATTCAGGGCATTCAGAAAAACCAAACCTGGGAATTGGTTGATTTTCCTAAAGGGAAGAATGTTATCGGGCTAAACTGGATTTTCAAAATGAAGTACAATGTTGATGGAAGTGTCAAAAGGCATAAAGCTCGACTTGTTGCAAAAGGATATTCCCAGCAACAAGGCATCAACTTTGAAGAAACATTCTCACCAGTTGCTCGCTTTGAAACGGTTAGAACTACTCTAGCCTTGGCTGCTCAACTTGGTTGGCGGGTGCACCAATTTGATGTTAAGTCTGTCTTTCTAAATGGCAAGTTACATGAAGAAGTATATGTCTCCCAACCTGAAGGCTTCATCTCTACTAAAGGAAAGAGCAAGGTATACTGATTGAAGAAGGCATTGTATGGTCTAAAGCAAGTTCCACAAGCATGGTATAGCAAAATTGATTCCCTTTTTCAAGAGCTACAGTACAAAAGAAGTTATAATGAACCTACACTTTCTGTGAAGAAATGAGGTAATGGTGATTTTTTGGTTGTCTGTCTCTATTTCAATGATATTATATAAATGGGCTCTTGTGAATCTATTGTTTCTTAATTTAAGAGTTGCATGATGAGCAAATTTGAGATGTCCGACTTGGGTATACTGCATTATTTTCTTGGGCTTGAGGTGAGACAACGTTTGGATGGAATTTTCATTTCGCAAAGAAAATATGCTACTGAACTTTTACAGAGGTTCAACATGCTGAACTGTAATCCATCTCACACACCCATGAATATGAATGAGAAGTTGGTACTGGATGATGGTACAGGTGCAACAAATGTTTCTTATTTTAGGAGCCTAGTTGGTGGTCTAAACTACTTATCACACACAAGGCCCGATATAGCATTCTCCGCCAGTTTAATCTCAAGATTCGTGCATAGTCCTTCAAAGCAACACCTGGGTGCATCCAAAAGGATCCTGCGATATGCTAATGGCACAACAAGCTACGGAATTTGGTACTCAAAAGTATCAGATTTCAGATGCATTGGTTTCACTGATAGTGATTGGGCAGGTAGCTTGGAGAGTCGAAGGAGCACATCTGGGAATGCTTTTAGTCTTGGTTCTGGAGCAATCTCCTGGAGCTCAAAGAAACAAGATACAGTAGTTTCTTCATCTTCGGAGCCAGAATACATGGCTGCAACTTCAGCAGGTTGTCAAGTTGTCTGTTTAAGGAAATTGTTAGTGGATTTTCAACAAGAGCAGGTTGGTCCAACTGAAATTTGGTGTGACAACAAGGCATCGATTGCTATGACAAAGAAACCTGCTTTTCACCGTAGAACCAAACACATCGACATTAGTTATCACTTCATCCGCAATCTTGTTACTGCTGGAATAATCTCATTGAAATTTTGTGGCACAAATGACCAGGTTGCTGATGTTCTTACGAAACTGCTTCCGTGCAACAAGCATGACTTCTTTAGGCTACAAATGGGAGTATGTGATTTTGAAGAAAGGGGAAGTGTTGACTAATTCTTCAAGAATCAACCAAGTACAGAATCTTATTATGGTCCTGTTTTTTAGTATTAGTGAAATTAAGTTTTACTTGGTCAATTTTTTTTATTTTCTTCTTACTGTTTTAGTTATATTAGTAGGATATGTTTTCAGTGTTTTACCCATGTTTAACCACTACTGGTTAGTTCCTATTTTTTAGTGTATGATCAAGAATTTGCTAAGTTAAATTATTATCTGTAACATGTGATGTACTTTTCATTAGTAAAGCAATCAAAACCTATACAAGTGAGTATTAAAATGATAAAATACAACGTTTTAAAGATGTCGTATTATCTCTATCAAAGATGTGTATGTACCAGTAACTAGGATTAGTATTCCCATTAGTACTATCAACCCTATTATGACCAACTCAAATCCCAGCTTCCTGTAAGTGCCTGAAATCTTCAAGTAGCACAAACATGGTAGCAAAACTGAAGCTGTGACACTAAGAAATGCTCCAACTAGTGACATGAGATAACCAAAGAAGGGTATAGTCAAGGCAACAATCACACTGCTTATTACCAGGGTGATCCTGATGGCGGGGATAAATGATGATTCCTTATTACTGTTAGATTGAAAACGTTCCTCGAGTCTGTTGATCACTGGTGTCATCATTAATGAATACTTGGCTATTGGATTGATCAAGGTAGTGTATATAGCCAATTTTGAGCCAAAATTACCAGTTGGAAGATTCAACGTAATTTGTGATTCAACCTCTGAGCCAAACATGGAGTACCCCATTGCTGCAATTGATGCATACGTTATGGTAGCGAACAAAAAGCATAGGAGCATTACCTGCAATTGATGCATATATGTAGAGGTCAGTAATTTTGATGTGTCGAATGGACGAGTTGGTCAAAATAATTCGTTACCTTGGAGAATTGCTTCTGCTTATTCATTGAAGTGTACAAAGTTGGGAAAACAGGATGGGCACAGTAACAGAAGGCATATAAGCTGAAAGATGTAGGGATTCCTCCCCAATTCACAACTACTCCACTTTTATGAAAGCCAATACCATCATATGTTGCTGCCCAGAAAATTGAACCAATAATCACGAGAGACGCTAAAACTGCAGAGGCTGATACATATGCAAGGATACTCATGTTCTTTAACAATACGGTTGGCAATATGAGGAGAGCAACAATCAAGACAAAGCTTTGTTTCCCACCAATTCCGAGTCCCCAAAATTCAAAGTTCACATCTGGCAACAAATTGTGCAAGTTGTCCCCTGCAAGAATTAGAAAACCGGTTGCTACCAAGTAAAGCTCTAGAGTCATAAATATCGACACTAATATTCTTCCTGATGTTCCGAATGCACGATCTCCAATGTCAGGATAACTTGTTATAGTTGGATCAAAATCCATACATCTCTTTATTAATATTGATGTGTAAAAGGTTGCACATGCAATAAGAAGAAGAAGAATCATGCTTAACCACCCTCCTGAAGATAGAGCATATGGAGTTGACAAAATTCCTACCCCTGAAAACAAGAAACATATACGTTATATTTACATAAATATATATATATTCATCATGCTTATTGGTTGGTTCGTTTGGTTTATCCATTAATGATTTTTAAACATGCTTATTGCTTATCGATCTAATAACAACCCCAATAAAATAATTGTTATCGATTTTTGGTTAATCAATTAGCAATAATTAACGATTTGGTTTTAAGTTAACCGATTAAAAAAATCTACTTTGATCGTTTTTCTCATATTTTTATTTATTCATATATACACGGTCTTCAGAGGGTATTTATTGCTCACAAAAAAATAAAAATAGGCAGCATGATGTCATAAAAGAAAATCATGCATCAAAATATAAACTACAAGCAATATGAACAATGATAATTTAAACAAGGAAATGAACCACATGTCCAGCCATCTAAAACAAAAACATACTTTATTTTATGAAGTTAGATAAAAGAGAAAATAGTCAAATGTTTCCCTATTTATATATAAATTTGTCACTATACACTTTAATTTCACGGCTCCTATCCCCCTTCTAAATTATTTAAAATTATAATTATTATACATCTTTACAAAGCAACAACTACATCTATGTTCACTAATGAAGCTCATGCATTTGGCATGTGAATATTTTATTAAAAACGTTTTTATTAGCTTACTAATTTAAAACTCCATTGAAGGGATCAAAACATTGAAATTTTTCTATGTTTGTCTTGGATCTTGGATTTTAAATTGATTGAATAATGTTGGTTAAGCAAAAACACTGGCTTGACTAAGTTCATAAAACTTTGGATATGAAGAACGTTGGAACTCCATAAAAATCGACAAACTTTCATATAAACCTTTTGGATCTAAATTTTTAATTGAGAGCAATAGGGTCGACTCAACAAGATTGGGGGTCTAAAGCAAAACTTAAGAGAGGGACCCTAATATTTTGTTTTTTTCATCATATATACTTTTATTTAAAATCTACTTTTCTATTTTTTAGATGTGAAGCCATTACTTGTTGTTGTATATTCGATTTGTTTTAATAATTCCTTTTCAATTGATAATATAGTTAATCCATTCAATATCTCTTGAGATATTGTTGATCTTAAATAAGATTTAATCAATTTTAATTTTGAAAAACTTCTTTCAGCTGAGGCAACGATTACAGTAACTGTTAACATTATCCTATAAGTAATATGTGCATTTGGAAAAGAATCAATTTTTTTTATTTGATTGAGTATTTTCATTAGATCATTATCTTCTATTTGTATTATTTCTCTTAAAACTTTTAAAATATAAATCTAAATCATTAATATCAGAATAACTATTATGTGTTAAGAAAGTTCAAAGTTAAGACAATGTTTTTTTAAAATTCTCATCATGTAATGATCTCAATTTACCACTAAATAAGAAACCAATATTTTCATATGTTTCAATTGATTCAAATCTATTTTGAAGTGAAAAATAGTTTGATCCACTATATATAAGTTGAGGAATATTATTTGGAGCTGAAATTAAATTTATCTACTAAATTGGTTGTCTGAAACTTGAAATAAGATTTGTAAAACTTGTTTGATGGACCTTGAGCTTCAAACCTGAGATAAATTAGTTAACAAATTTTGCAAGCAATTACAAATAATTTTGCGGGTTATTGAAGAAAATCAATTGAGTGTAACTATATTAAGATTATTGAAGCTTAAATTTGCATTGATTTGAAAGATTTTGGATTCATAGTGTTCTTGATTGTAGAATTGCTCTCTAAAATTTTGGTGTATCGATTGACATGGTAAATTTGAAGATGGTTATTGATGAGGAAATGTGTCTATGTTTGTCTTGGATCTTAGATTTTAAATTGATTGAATAAAATTTTAATGTTTGTTATTGATTTTGCTCTCTCAAAAAAGAGTAAAATACACTTACATTTAACTATTTTCTCTTATATTAAATAAAATATCTAAGAAATTGTATTAATTGATGATGAAGAGGAGAATAAAAATAGAAATCATTGAAGCCAAATTGACTCTAAAATTTGACTGAATAAAGAACCCCAAACCAAGATGGTGGTGCTTTATAGGATTTACATTTTACAATATGTTTTCAATGGTGGAAAACTGTGGAGTACTGAACCCAATATTGTTATTATTACTTTTTAAGTCTCAATTTATATAGTACCTTTAGGATATTAAAATTCAAACAGTCTTCATTGATCACAATTTTTTCATTCATCTTTAAAATATTTTGAATTATCATTTATTATGATATATAGTACTATTTTACGTAATTTTAAATCAAATAAATAAATTTTATTTCAAAAAATTTAAAGATTTAATGCTCAAAATCACAATTAAACTTAAGTTATTTTGCTCTCGAAATTTAATTTATGCTATATAAATTGAAACAAAGAAAATATTATTTTCAATCATTCGAAGAACTCCCACCTTTTTGCTCTTCAACCATAGAATAGCGGGTGGAGACTGATTACCATTTAGGCAACCTCTTTTGTCAAACCATTATAATATAATTTGGAATAAATAATTCTTTTTTCAATATTATCTTATTGAATTATCGTTTTGAACATTAACTAAAATTTAAAAATAGAAAATTAAATCGATAGTTAAATGTTTTTGTTGGATAATTGTTTAAAAATCGTTAAATCAATAATTCAAACTAATAAACCACTAAAGAAAGATTCATTCGATTTATCAATTTTTGTATGTCTTATGACAGCTCTAGTTATATAACCATAAAGACAGATGATGACCTCTTCTACAAAAAGAAAAGATGGAAGATCTAAACAGTAAAAAGACATTAATGAGATAAAGTCGGCATACTTTTTTACGGAAATTTTTTGGCCAGAATGATATTTTATCTGTTATTTTATTTTTTAAAATATTTTTATCCTTTTAACTTTAATATTTTTTAATTAAAAAATGACAAAAGACCAGTTTATTTTAAATTAAAAAAGATATTATAGACTTTTTAAATTTCTGGCCAAATTTTCTGGCCATTTAGCATCATCCCTTTTTTACCACTCAGTTTGAATGAACTTTTTCTTTTCTTAAACGAAAATAAAATAAATAAGCCAAACGTTTAATAAACGACATAAATGAACTTTTTTTTCTCAAAATTTGATTGCATACTTAAACTTTTTTCCTTTTATTTATAATTAATTGAATCTAAAACAATCAATTAAGTTGGTCTGCAAGGTGATTTACTAACAGAATTTATAAACATCATATTCAATCAAACATCGTTACATAAATGGAGACAGCCACACAACATTAATCATCTTACAAGATAATACTGGACCACTTATCACTGGAGGGGACAGACTATGAGTGATCCAGTTGGAATGATGGTATTTTGCCAAAGAATGTCCAATGAGTTGTCCAAGCAGGATATATACTCAATAAGATCGATTGAGAGTGTAAAGCCAAATTTTAAGAAACTTATCATTATATATATTTTTCTTTCAAGTTTAGTTTTTTAAATAGGAATCACTAACTTTTTTTAATGATTTGTTATATATAATTTCAAAGAAAGATTGTCATATTTATAGGTTAAGGTTATGAAGTAAGAATATCAATAATGTAAATTTTTAACGAAAAATATAATATCAAATTATAATAATAAAATTTTGTTCAAAATTTTAATAACTTTATATAATAATTTTAAATTAGTGTTACTGTTCTTCAATATAATGACGAAATCTTAAAAAGATTTTAAAAAAAAGAATAATTTGATTTTTTATAAGAAGACAACTGTAGATTTTTCAAAATATTGAATAAAGGGAAAAAAACTTAATCGAACTTTGAATAATGATGTAAATGAATGAATTTTATTTCAAACGAAAATAACATCGATAACCCAAATTTCTAAAGAGGGACATAAATAAATCTTTTCTCAAAACTGAAAGCTAGATGCTATATTTGAACTTTTTCCGTTTTATTTTCCAAGAGAGCTATTCAATTTGAAACATTGCTTCCCCATTTACGTGAAACAATTTCCAGTTTACTTAGACAGGAAGAAACTGATATATTTAGTAACAATAATTTTTAATAACACAAATATTTATGATTTGCTTTAAATACTACAAATCTTGCATTATCTATGAAATTGGGTGTGGAGAGAGGGGTTTTTTTGGCGAAGAATAGAGTAAATTTAGAAGGAAATGGGGGAGGAGTTTGGATGAAGAAAAACATTAATTGGGGAAGATGCATAATTGGAAAGTGAGAAGAAAAGAACCTGATAGAGCATTGAGTCCGTGAAAAGTGGTTTTGATAAAAGAGGTTTTTCCAGTCTGATCAGTTTCATCAGATCCACCCAACAGGAGGGGCAAAGAAACAAAGTTCTCACTCTCGTATTTTCTCTCCATTCGATCTTTTTTCACTACACACTATACAAACAACACCAATACAATTAATTATATGTCACTCTATTTATTTATAATAATAATGGAGTAGCAAATGACACCAACGACTTTAGCAAATGACACGTTCTCAGATTTGACAAAAAGTGAGGAGATAATGAGGTTGGAGGTTCACTACTTAATTAATAAATACTATTATACACGTTTCTTATACATTTATTTAAATCTGATGGTAGCTAGTGGTTAAGTTATTTTTTTTATTTTTTTTAATCGGAAAAAAAATATTTTCTAACGACAATGGGATTAAAGGTTAGTAGATTAAGATATATCAAATTCATTTTTTTTAGACTAAAATATCAAAATAATGGGATAATAGAGAAATATAATCTAGAGTAATAAAAGAAAAAGAAAAAAGAAAGTGAGGAGAAGGGTGGCCTGGAAGTATTCTTCCATCAAAATGCCAAACGAAAGAAGCTCAAAAGACTAATATCCTTGCTTTAATTCTTGGGGATTTCTTTTGACAAAAAATAGGGTAAATGTCTTTGAGAAAATAACCAAAATGGTCATGGGTAATTCTTTATTTTGGTCCTTAATATATTTCACTTCATTAAAATGATTGTTAATATATATGACAATATGTGTTCATTTTGATCTTTTAGCCTAACCGAACGTATTTATTTCAATAAAATGTATGAAATTTTTCTATGGACCCTACTAGCTAAAAAAAATTACTCGCTCTCTTTCAAATTAATTGAATTGTTGAGGTGTTTCACACTCTTTAAGAAAAAAGAAAAAAAAAAGATTAAGACATAAATTAGACATAACTTTCCATTTTTACCCTTATTAATTATTATCAAATTCCATAGTGTTGGGTTTGTTCATCCACATGCCACTCATGAGTTTCTTTTGCGAATCTATCCATAAATATTGAGCAATTTAATTTCTTGATGATTTCTTGAGAAGTGTTCTTGAAGTTTCCTTATCGATTAAGTTTTGATGTAAAATTCTACTTGGGTCACCTTCAAACGATCATATATCTTAGAATATAAAGAGTTACGTGGCCCATAACCTATCAAATTAAAGGTATTTGAATCTACTTTCCAACGCCACAAATTTCGCATCAATCCAATTTCTTATTAAAAAGTTATGACCACTTTAGTAACCTGATACAGTGTTGTTACGAATTAGTCAACGGGAAAACATTAAAAAAGGGTCCTTTTTGACATTTAACCTCCAAGAACCCTAAACAAATTTCTTGACTAATAAAAGGCTCAAAACAATCAGATTTTTATCTTTTAATCCATCATTCTCTTCTCTCTCAAATCCTAGGGCAAAACCCTAAGGAAAAATCAAAGTAGAAGACTCCATTCAAGATTCTTTCAATCTTTTTCAAGATTCTTCTTCAAGGTAAGTCTTTCTCCAAGAATTCCATTCTTTTCAACTCAAATTCCTCCATACAATTATGAATCACTAATGAAAAATCATAATTCTTGGTCATAGAGATTTCAAGAAACTAATTCAAGAATCTCAAGAAAGGTTTTCTTGATCGTTTACCTTCAAGCTAGGGTTTCAAGGCTTCTAATCAAGTTTTCCTCACGATTTTTCAATATTCTTCAAGAACCTTGTTCTTCCAGTTCCAGGTATGTAAGGCTATCATAGTGTTGGACTGGTCTGTCCTCACGCCTTACATCTACTTTGAGATCAGTAAAAGAGTAATTTAGGACACTTTCCTTAGATTTGAGTATTCTTGAGATAAGTTGATTTTGAGTTCTTGAGTTTATGTTCATTTTAAAAGTTCTATTCCTAATTATCTAATTGCTATATTGTTATTGAGATCCTTCATATCATAAATCATAACTCTTGAATTCATAATTCAAATTCAAGAAAGAGTTAAGAGTAAAGTTCAAGAAAGTCTTTGAGTTCAATTGTGAATCCTTTGAGATCAACTGTCGATTTGAGCTAAGGTTTGAGGAAGTAAGTTTAAGAATGAGAAGAGTCGTATACCTGAGTTCCATAATGTTATTTAGACCCTTAAGTCGAGTCGGTCAACTCCATCAGTTGAGTATCTTTGAGAGGAGTAGTATCTTCAAGTTTTATGTCTTGAGTGTTGAGTTCCTAATCATTTTGGGATTATATTCCTAATCATTGGGACTACTACATGTTACCATGAAGGTCCTTAAGTTGAGTAGTTCATGCCTATAATTCCGAATGAACCCTATGAGTCGAGCAATCTTGAGATGAGAAGTATCATTGAGCCCTTGAGTTGAGTAGTCCATGCCCATAATTTCGCATGAACCCTCCGAGTCGAGCATTCTTGAGATGAGTAGTATCATTGACTCCTTGAGTTCTGAAGTTGTTGAGTTCCAAGTATTGAGTTTTATGCATGGTTATTGAAAACTTTGAATTGAGTCGTTCACGTCCATAATTCAGCATGAACCCTATTTTAAGAAGTCTTTTTACAAATTGTTTTAAAACTTGTGTTTAAGACTTGATCATATGAGTTTGAGGAAGAGTAGAGCTGAGTTCATTTTCTTTAAAATGATATATGGGAACTAAGTATTCCCAAGAGTAAATGTTTTCACATTTAAGATGAAAGGAAACACTGATTTCCAAAAGAGTTTTCATGAGCAGTTTTAGTACCATCTCTTTTAAGAGAAAGATTTTGAGTAATAATCTCAAACCACAGAAAGAGTTATGTTTTTAAACATATAATCTAGTTACATTTTGGGAGTAGTATTGAGCACCGATATGGGGACGAGTTCAAATAACTCAAAGTCTCCATAAACCATGTAGCCAACATGGGTAGAAATGGTCATACTTTTTAGATGATTCATTAATGTTTTTTAGCATAGACTAGTGGATCCACTTAGTTGAGGAGTTCTATACCCCGACAAGGTATAAAATAGTTCTGCAAGGTGGGCGAGACGTTGTATCATCACATAGCTCATAGTGATGGTTGTCGGTTAGAGAATCTCCCACAGAGTTATATTGTATTTTTATATACAAATTTAGTTGTTATTGTATTCTTCAATACATTGAGTTGCTATCTACTGTTTTAAAAGCTTTCCATACATTGCATCGTTTATTATTGCTTTATCTTGATTTGAGTATCTAGAGTTGAGTATCTTGAGTTGAGTATCATATCTTTGATTTGAGTATCTAATCATTGAGTTGAGTATCTTATTCTTGAGTTGAGTTTAGTTGGGTGAGTTGATAAGAGGTAAGTATGTTTCCTTTTTATCAAGTTCAAGCTTATGTTTATGCTTTAGAATTCCATTTGCATGCTCGTACATTCCATGTGCTGACCCATTTGGCCTGCATCATTTCATGATGCATATACAGGTATTCAGGATCATCAATAGGTGCTTCGTTGAGGTCATGTTATATTCCAGTCAGCTTTGGTGAGCCTTTTTATATTCTAGAGGACTTCACCTTTATCTTACAGTTAGTAGTTTTGAGATTTTGTGGGTCTTGTCTCGATATCCTTTTGTAATAGTAGGGGTTTCATAGATAGACAAAGTCGAGTAGTTTTCGGTATGTATCTTCTTTAGGTTATTTTTACAAACTCTAAGTTTATCTATTGAGTAGTTTTCATATCTTTTTAAAGATTGAGTATTTGAGTTATTGATCAAAATTCAGTTTTTAAGCTTATGTATGCTTGAGTTAATCTTTTGCTTGTAGCCAACCAGGATGAGGGTTCGCTCGGGAACCAACAATGGTTCTCGAGTGCCGGCCACGTGCAAGGTGTAGGCTCGGGTTGTGAGAAACTTGGTATCAGAGATTTGAATTCAAGTGTCCTAGGGTGTCTATGAAGTTGTGTCAGTAAGGTCTTATTTATGGTTGTGAGGGCCCCACTTCTATAAATAAGGGACTACAGACATTTAAGAAAAGTTTTCCTTTCTTCATACTCTTAACGTGTAATAGAGCTATGTCATAGAGACTTATTCTAAATTGTGCGTTCTCATATCCATTCGACTACCCCTCATACTAGCGGTGGTTGAAAAGCAAAGCCAGTTTTTTTATCAATGAGTTACTTTTAGCAAAAAATCTTGAGGAAGTCATGAGACTCCAGAGGGGCTTGAGAGAATCCCTAGAGTGAGTTAAGTGTTGAGTTTCAAAGAAATACGCTCATGTTCATATGAATCGTGCGTTCAAGCTAAAAGGGAGTTGTACTCTCTTCTCTAAGCCTTGTTTCAGCTAAGATCCTCATGAGCAAGTATGTTTAGATATTGGGTAGTATTCTCATCCAAAAAGGTAGCATGAGTTACGAAATTATGAGCAGTAATAGTGAATGTGCCCAGAGTTAGAGGAAAGTATGTAGAGGTTCAGTAATCTATGAAAGAGAGATAATGATGGGGAAGATTATGTTATTGCAATCATGCACCCACTTAGTTATAAGTGATGAGTTCCTTTATGAGTGAAATAAGGAATAATAATGTTGTAGAGATTTCTTGATAGAGGGAAGAGGAACAGTTACTAATCATGATGAGATAGAGTATATTTTAACCATAATAGAGTTGATGTCGATGTTCCATCGTGTTAGAGGAGGCTAAATATATGTGTTGAATAGAAGCAGATCATGATGTTCCAAAGGTTATAGAACCGATTAAGTAATGAGGTATAATAAATGAGAAAATAGTACTTAAGTTGTAAAAAGGGGATGTAGACCAGTTTAAAGATGATGAAATAGGTCCATAGCTTCCAAGTGTCAGCTTTAGACCTAAGGGGAAGATGATAAGATGAGAAATCAAGTCAAGTGTTAAGAATAAGATAGTAATGAGCTCAAAAGAGTATGAGAGATATTCAGAGATCTTTTAGTAGTAGAGTGATGTTAGAAGAAAAAGGTTAATGTTCTTATCGTGATAATGATGGTGTGATAATTTCATCCAAGGTTATAAATAAGGAGGAAGAGGAGGATGAGGTTTTA